CAGTGACAACGTATATATATATATAAATGCCAATAATTTTGTTGGAGGGATGTCTATATAAACTAAATACTGAGGGTAATGCCTTTTAATTTGTTTTCCAAATGTGAACACAAACAATTTAGGGTCCCAAAATCTGCATCTATATGTCACTGACTGCTGACTCTCTTATCTGTAAATGTTGAAAGAGCATGCTTTAGCACTCTGGCTGCCTCGTTTGTTTGAAACCCTTAAAGCTGCAGCTTTAAATATGAAATTTTGCTTTAAAGAGTTTTCCTTTGAAGCACACAGGGGATTTCCTTTTAACCACAGCAATTATACTGCTCCCCAGTCTCCAAATAGCACAAAAAATGCAAAAACATAATAATAATCACACTATTATTGCATCTGTTGCAGTGAAGCTGTCCACAACTATTGGGGTTTTGTGAGATGCATTCTGCACTTCTGTGCGCTAGTTTTAATCTACCTGATGGAAAACATGGTTTAGAGTTATTCGCACTGCATGCCATGATGAGTCTTTTGGAGCAAAATATGGTCATTGGATTTAAAAATGTTAGTGAAGCTCACAGCACCAAATCATAAGTTATTCCAATAAGTTATTCAAACTTTTTCCTTAAAGCATTTAGAAGCTAATAAGCAAGAATTCCTTGCATGTTTCCTGGTGTATACCACTCTGCTACGGTTAGTGGTCGGGGATGCATGATTTTAAAGTCAACAGTTAAGTGGGGGGATGGGTGGGGGGTGGTGTTTGGTAGGGGGTTGGGTGATTGTGGTACCACATCATCTTATATCTGTACATACATACATACATACATACATACATCATCTAAACCGCTTATCCTTCTGGGTCGCTGTGGGGTGCTGGAGCCTATCCCAGCTGTCATTGGGCGGAAGGCAGGATACACCCTGGACAGGTCGCCAGTCCATCGCAGGGCTCTTATATCTGTATGATTATTAATAAACAATGAGTTGTGACATTAATAGTGACATGAAAAAGAAAACTTCAATGTCCACATAAAAGGGCGTGGTAGTGGTGTGGCCAAGGAATACTGGCCTGGGAGGGGAAAAAAAAGGAAATTAAAGTTGACAGTTATGTGATGAAAGTCGAGTTGCCATCAACTAATCACTAATGACATTATGAACAAAACCGTAGGAGAAGTGAATGCTTTGCAACAAGCTACATTAAAAACCTGAGACGAAGCCACGGGTCAGTAGACTGTGACGTGCCCTTTCCAAAGAGCCATGGATCGCATTGCTAGATTTCAGGGAACCATAGATACCAGGGAAAATACCCTGGAATCGCACAAATTTGTATCACACATGGGCACACACACCCTTTGTGGCCTTGCCGAGATGTTCACCCCCTGCGGACGTCTGGAGAGCCAGAGAAATTTAGAGCATCATAAAAACCCAAATTCAAACTTTACAGGATTATAGGGCGTCATGCATCTCACCAATGACACTCCGGAAAATCGGAGATGACAACGTTCAATATCTGATCTTTGAAGAACTGTAGATCCGCAGAGAAACGTTAGAATGAAGCAAACTCCACAGGTCAGTAGACGTACCATTTCCGATGAGCCCTGCTTGTCTTCAGGGAACCAGAGATATGGACCCCAAAATCACCAGGCTCCTCCCATGTTGTCTCGTCTGAGGCATCCATGTTGTTGCGTCATAATCACACGATCAGTGACTGGTCAACATCAAGCTTAAAACGTCATCACGGAGCAGTAACATCGAGTCAACTAGTCGTCGAGTCGGTGCAACCCCTAGTCTGCAGTTTGTTATTGTGTGTTTCAAACGGCCCTTTCCTGTCAAAGTAGGCGCCACATTGAACGACGAAGCTCCCCGGACTTTATAACGATCAGATTCCTGACTTGTGAGACTAGAAGAGCAGAGACGAAGGAATTAACATAATTTTGAGTAAATGAATTTCACTGGAGAATCAGATAAAGGCCACTTAAATCAATTAATTGACAAACAGGAGTGACACCTATGGCGCTCTAGAACGAAGAAGTATTTCAATTCAGTTCACACTGCAAGCTATCAGAGATCTAACAGGCAGCCATTAGCATCATTATGAATGTCAACAGTATTTAAATTCATGCTGATCTAATTCCGACAATCAGTTTCTCAGCAGAGTTCTACTGTATATCATTAACACTGATATGTATTGATTTGAATATTTCCAAATTTATCTTGCCTCAGCCGCCACTTAGCCTGTCAGATATTATTTGAAGAAGATTACAGAGTTTATGTGAAATATTTCATGAAATATGTGATTTGAATTTTACATTTTTTTTCCCCATATGGTGGAACAGGGAGCTCAGGGAGGCAGTTAATAATGTGAAAATAACTTTATTCCAAAACAGTGGAAAGAATCTCTACCGCTGAGAATGTGTGTGATATGTTGCATTTACAACCAGAGGAAAAAGTACAATATCCCAGACTAATATAATAAGAAGTAATCCACTCGAGAGACCAGGCAGTTAAACTGACTGAATGATGTCTCAGAGGAGGCCGAAAACACAGCACAGCTATGGCATTTTACAGTGACTTTTTACAGGTTACAAACATGCACAAAATAACAACGTATAAAGTTAAATAAAACTATAATATGATGTGAAATGATCATTTTGATTTTTCACTCTCAGTTTGTCCATTTATGATTGTGAATATGAGCTACTTCATCATAAACACCATATAGGTGAACTGTAGGTTTAGAATTACTGACAGCAGCCCATCTGTTACTGCACAGTACATCAGGCCCCCTGTACCACTTCCATCAGTGAAAGACCATCTCATGACCACTGCTGACCAAATATTATTTGGCTGGTGGATCATTTTCAGCATAGCAGTGAGACCAAAACGGTGGTGGCATGTTAGGGAGTGTCGTGCTGGTGTGAGGCTCGGCGGTGGGGCTGGAGTTTTCATTAATTTCAGGGTCACTGCTGGGTTGAGAATAGTCCTGTGATCAGACTCTGAGCACTGATGAAGGACTAGAGGACGGCTAACATAAACTGCGGGAAAAAAAAAAGAGCTGTCGTATCTAATCTTACATCTATAAGGTGAACCAATGAGGTAAATGAACAATAGAGTGGACACAGTGTTTAAACGCTCCACCATATCAGTGTCATTGCAGATCTGTGAATGATCCACCACCAAATAATATCTGGTCAGCGGGAGTCCTTTGGTTTCTTTCCAGGGCAGCTGATAAAACTGGCAGGCTACAAAGTGCGCCTATATGGTAGGTGTTTCCAATAAAATGGCCAATGACTACAAGTATTTCATGTGATGTTTATGTAAGTATATTTTTGCATGTATGCAGAGAAACATGTGGACTAGTTTTACTACTACAGTAAAACTAGAAAGTGCATGTATATACATATATTACAGACTGTAGTCCATCTGTTTCTCTGCATACTTTCTTAGCCCCCTTTTACCCTGTTCTTCAATGGTCAGGACCCCCACAGAGCAGGTATTATTTGGGTGGTGGATCGTTCTCAGCACTGCAGTAACACTGATGTGGTGGTGGTGTGTGTTGTGCTGGTCTGAGTGGATCAGACACAGCAGTGCTGCTGGAGTTTTTAAACACCTCAGAGTCACTGCTGGACTGAGAATAGTCCACCAGCGTCCTGTGGACAGTGTCCAGTGACCACTGATGAAGGACTAGAGGATGACCAACACAGGCTGTGCAGCAGCAGATGAGCTATTGTCTCTGACTTTACATCTACAAGGTGGACTGACAAGGTAGGAGTGTCTAATAGAGTGGACAGTGAGTGGACACAGTTTGAAGTTTGAACACCCCTGTTTTGTTGCATCTCAAACAGCCCTTTTTTGCACTACAGTTCCATGTTTAGTTGCTACCTCAGGATTGCAGGTGGGGTGTCAAACCAGTCAGATGAAAATCTAAAAGCAATGACGAGTGTTTGTGTGTGTGTGTGTGTGTGTGTGTGTGTGTGTGTTGGGGGGGGGGTGGTGTTAGGGTGATATTTGAACATTTGTGTGTTTGTTTTACTTTCAACTTTAATGTCATAACTCATCAGGGCCCTGTGAAGAGCAGCTGAACTTACTGTAAACTCAGATTAGTATAACTGCTCTTCAGACACAGAGGGAGAGAGGGCTAACAGAGCCACTTCCAACTTCCCAGAATACATCAAATTTAGTGCAATGGTTACATAAGACTCACTGGATTTCACAAGAAGTATAAAGTCAATAAAATCATATAAAATGCTTTTGCACATTTCTTATTTCAGTCAATATTTCAAAAGACAGTAAGCAGCAATAAATGCTGCAAACATGGCGATGACAGTAAGTCGCTGGAGTGAAATGTCTATTTTAGTTTATCTTGAAGGTGAATTTTTATGGATTTTTCAAACTTTCTGCATAGTTCAGTTATTGAGATGTAAACAGTCATTCAGAGTGGTCTGATGTGAAATGTTTCACTGTAGAGAAACCTGCTGAAACTTGCTTACAGTGGTGATAGGAACCAGGAGTCACAATGACTACAATGCAAATATAGCCATTATATATACTATTCAAAATAACCAGTGAACCTACACGACCTACACGATGGTGGTTTTCCTTGGGCACTGTTTTGCTCTACAACACCCCACGTGTACCTCTCCACCATGAATATGTCAAAAAATGTTTCAGGCATCAGGCAACATGCGTAATGATTTAATGTAATAACTTTTATGTGAGGTAGCTTTCAGAGGTATTAAACACTTCAGGTTTAAAACCACTGTGAACAATTCTGGCTTGGTGAGCTCTCTAGAATCTAGAAAAACGTCACATTAAACCACTCTGTATGACTGTTTACATTTAAACCAAGTAATTATGCTAACATTTTGCAAAAATCATTTTAATTGCCCTTTAATGCAAATACTTCACACATCCATCGCGCATTCGCCAGTACGTGTCTGTGCATTTGTTCAACACTTGCAGAGTTCAGACCAGCTGCAGTACGTACAGTTGTACGTGTTTATGATGAGTTATTATCACTTTTCAACATCTGTGGTCTTCATCTTGCTACCGTGCCACCTGGGCAAGAAAAGAGGGAGGAAAGAATCAGAGCTTTAGAATGATTGTAGTAACACGTCAATAAATAGCAACTAAGACAACAAGTAACACTTATTCCTATAACTAATTATACATTGAGTAGTATTTAAGTACTGTAATCAATTAATAATAACCCATTCACAAAAACATCATTCAGAGTGCAGTCTGTATGACAAACGTCTTTTGTGCTGCAGTGAGATAATGTAAGCTATATTGCCCCCAGCATTTCCTGTAGTGTACTGAAGTCTGTCAGCATTAACGTGAGTCATGCAAACGTAACAATTAGAATTTCAACGTTTTATTTTTACTTTCAAATTTAACTCATACTAGTGAAAATTGTGCCTCCCATTAAAGCAAATTGGAAAAATCCATGGATTTTAAATTTAGTGAGAACTGTAGTCTTACACGTAAATCGTCGCTGCCCAAAGAAAACCATGTATCTCCATTTTTGTCAATTTTTATTTTTCTACATCATTTTAACACGCCAGCTGTCTTTTACATTGTTTGAAAATTTTATGAAGAATGGACCAATGGAAATGCTCTAAAATCACAGTGATGAAATATAGAATTCCTCCTTATGAACAGGGCTCATTTACTGTATAGCTGTGCATGAGTTTAACATGTTGAGGATGATGATGCATAAACCTACACAGTGTTGGAGAAATACAGTGGAACAGCAGTGAGTTTTGTTTTTATAGCACAAAAAAAGAAAATCCTAAAAAGAGGCATCTTTCCATCAACAAAGGTAAGAAGCCCCCCTTCAGTTTTACTGAATGTATCATTTATATGTCAAATCATTTCTAGTCTTTAGGTTTGTTTACAGCTTGTGTTATTAATCAAAGTACAACACAAAAAATATTGTAGTTTAAAATGAAACTGAGGCCTCTGTCAGTTTGTCTTAAAGAGTGCACTTTAATAAGAGGACAAAAACAGAAGCACTTGAAATGTAAATTTTGTGAATGATCTTATGTAAATTCATTAATGACATTATTATCAGCACTTCATTGTTTAATTGGTAATTGCAAATGATTATTAAACATGAAAGAGATCAGGCGTGGATGTAAATCTTTTCCAAGCTGCAAAAGTTACATATAAACTCTCCAGCAAGACGGCTAAAAAAATGAGGCCTAATTCCTGCTAACAGTCGTTCTTGCCCTAAAGGTCTAATCTTACACTTTCGCTCGGGTAAAAGCTGGACTTTTATTATAAGTCATGTGTTTTAAGTGAACAGGTTTTCTGTACTTTTTGAAGTCCACAAATCATAATTACAGCCCGTGTCTGTACTGACCGTATTCTACAGATGTGGCAGATTAGCCTGAAAAGCATTTTAGTAAATGATGTTAGAATCAACTTTTCTTCATATTTTTCCATTAATCAACTGGGCCTTTGGAACAGTGTGAAACGTGGCCTTGAGCCACCACTGAACATTTAACTGCTGCAGCAGAGCGAAGTCAGGAATCCGCGACGGTGGCCGTCACAGCCTGGAGTGGATTTCTAGGTCTACGCTGCTGAACATGATCATGCTAGTCAGTCAGGATGCGTAAGTGTAGCTGTGCTGGAGGTCAGAACATGCTGTCTGAAGGGGTCAGTGTGTGTCAGTGCATCCTTGCTGTGAATCATGGGAAATGAACTCTATTTGGAGCATTAGACTGGGTCTCGGTGACCCACTCACCTTAGTGGTTTTGACTTTGTTGCCCGAGCTGCAGGACCAGCCAGTGAGGTCAGGAAGAACTTTACACTCCTCACCCTCCAAACACGGCTCCATCTGACACCACCACTTCAGCCGCACTATAGAGGCTGAGAGAGAGAGTAAGAGAGGACATGAGAGACAGAGAAGAAGAGATAGAATAAAAGAGACAGAGTGAGAATAAGAGACAGTGAGAGAGAGAGAGAGAGAGAGAGAGAGAGAGAGAGAGACCATAGCAAGGACTACAGTTCTACTTTGTCTGCTCGTGCTGACTAAGAGAAGAGCTCTGAAACGCTGCTTTGTGTTAAATCAGTGGACTGAGAAGGGCGGATCTGCAGAGAATGACTACAGTGGAAAACAAACAGTGAGTAGTAAACACTTCTACTCTCAAACAGCCTTCAGAGGCTCAGTGTTCTTAGCTACACACATCTCCACAGACTCTCAGAGACTGAAGAAGACACAACTACCACAACACAGAGCACTGTAGCCTGTATCACTGCACACACACACACACACACACACACACACTCTCTCTGGATGGAGCAGGAGTCTGTGGTATGATCACACAGACAGTGGCTGTTATGTAGCCCATGCTGTGAACAGAGGGAGCAGAGAAAGTACAAGGCCAGCACTTGTAGAGCCGCTCAGGAGCTCGAAATTCTGCTAGTCTGAGACGGGTGAGCATCACGACTTGCCTGAATGAAGCCTGATGAATCTATTATGAACATATATAGACAGATGGGTGTTGGGCAGCCACTGTACTGGAGGGATGGAACAACATTCTTCTAAAAAATTCTCCTTCAGCTGATGTTGTGATGATGGCGATGGAGTCTAATACATCAGTCCAAAATCTCCCATAGGTCTCCAGTCAGGTGTTGAGATCTGACGACGGCTGTAGCACATGATCTACGTCATTTACGTTCTCATTAAACCATTCAGTGACTCTTCGTGTCCTGGGGATGGGGCATTGAGACCACTCCTATCAGCAGACCACTGCCCCACAGCATGACAGAGACATCTCGCTGTTGGGGTCAAGTGTGTAGGTCTATGCTGTGCTCTTGGTGTACGCCGCACATGCGCTCACTCACTTGTGGAGGATGTGGTAAAGGTCGACTCATCTGACTGTATCACATCTCTGTAGACCAGTGACTATAATCCTTTACACCTCTGAACTCTCAAATGATCCAAAACTAAGGTCAGCTTGGCCTGTTGGGCGTGCTTCAACTTTGCACTATTTTCTAATCAACTACAGAGTTTTTTCGGTAACACTTTACTGTAGGGTGCTGTTCATAAGGCTACATGACAGCTACATAAGCTTGTCATGACAACTGACATAACCCTGCATAACTATTTATAAATGCTCATTCCAACAGGCGTCATTTGTCATAAAGGCTACTTTAGCTGACTTTGATCAAAATTGGCAAATGTAACCTTCATAGTGGATGATGTCTGCTGGAATAAACACATATAAACATTTATGTAGGGTTATGTCAGTTGTTAGGAAAAGGTTATGTAGCTGTCATGTAGCCTTATGAACAGCACCCTACAGTAAAGTGTTACTGTTTTTTCATTCCAAATGACATTATCAGCATGACGATTTGAATGAAAAGTAGAATTTTAGAGATTTTAACATGGAATTTTTTAGTATTTGGCAGCTTGTACAAAAGATCCTGATTGGTAGATGAATTTCACCTGACAGTCGTCTGAACGTGTGTTTTAATGGAAGAAAAAAGGCTAAAAGAACTGACCTTTTTGTTCAAAGGCCTTAATATGGTCAAATGGTTAAATTTGAGTTGTGAACTAATAATACTAAATACGAATATTTCTTCATTTTATACATCATAACTTTTTTATTTTAATTCCAAAATCTTCTGTTGCTTATTTCAACAGATCAGTAAACAACAGATCAATCAACATGGTCTCAGACTTTTAGACCCCTTTAAATATATACATATATAAATTTAAACACAGCGTAAAAAGCAGCTGGCATTTTCAAATAAGGTGAAAATTAAAAGGCTAAAACAACGGAGATACAGGGACGGGGATTTAATCTGACGCCAATCAGATATGTGATGTGAATGCAATTCTGCCACAGTATATTTCACTGAGGTGGAATGTTAATTGCTTGTTGTGTAGCTGAAAGTCTTCATGTCCAAAATCTGCGACATTTTAACAGCAGTTTAAAGCTGTATTTAGTGAAAAAGCAGTGCTCAACTGTGTCCAGTTCAATATCGCTGGGTTTATACTGCCCTCTTCTGGAAAGTAATCATAGAAGAACATAATAAATTCCTGATGTCCCGCTTGACTAAGTATTCTTCAAAAGTATCACAGCATGAAAGTCCTTGTTTCCAGACAGACACTGACACTTTGAGGCAATAGATCAATCAAAAATAAAGTTTGTATGTGGTTTACAGTGTGAGAAACCACACGCACACGTCTCTAAGATTAATGATGGAGGCATGCAGTGTATATTATAACTGTTGGGTTATAAGCTTTCATTAACATCAACATCAGCTTTGTAGCTCCAATGCAAAACTAAAGAAACAAACTTCAGACACAACCCTTACAAAAAAGAGGTTTATTCAAGTGTGCTATTAGTATAATCCTTTTAAACTTAATATAAGTGAGTGTGCTCTCGGTTTACTTTTATGTACTTATCAAAAATATATTAGACCAAATTATACGTAAGTAAACTTGGCTTATGATGACAAGTATGCAGAAATGTTTAAGTATTGGCCTGTACTTGTACTTATATATATACTTGTTTGCACACATACTTGTATGTACTTATTCATATACTTGCATATACTTGTGGCCTGTACTTGTAATTATACTTCTGCAATACAAATATAAAATATAGAATATAAAAAATATACCTTCATAAACTAAAATGTGGGCTAGAAGTATGTAACTAGTACATATTATCTAACTTATAGTGTGTTTCACAGTATAATTGAAGTACAAAATAAAACTTACAAGTAAACTAGTTGTGTTCTGAAAGTTTTCCCTTTTTACACCAAAGGAGTCTTAAAAATATACTTTTATAAAGTAAAAAGTGGGCGAATTTAGTCCTTAAAAGTACTAAAATTGTACACTTATAAAAGTACTACAAGTACACTGATGTAAGTATACTTACTAAATAAAGTATACTTGGAAAATATACTTGAACTTTAAGTTTTTTTTTTGAGGGTAAGCATGTATTGGCTGATGGAGTGGGGCTGGGGGGGTTGGGGGCTGTGTAGATTTTTTTTTTTTTGGACAAGCTACCGTTTCAAGGCTGTTTGAGGAAACTTACTACAGAGTTTTGTTCAGTGACTTGTCCACCTGTCCTGCACTTACTGCCCGATTATGAGGAGCTGAGTGGTGCTCTTACCATCCACACAGGAAGGCCGGGCATGGGTCGTCCCTGCCACCTGTCCAGACAGGCACGAGCACTTCACCGTCTGTGACCTCTCCTCGATCTTGTTCTTATTACAGCAGCGACGAGCAGCGACCACCTCACACGTCCCCGGAGTCACTCCAGACTGACCTGAGAGAGAGAGAGAGAGAGAGAGAGAGAGAAAGATTTTTATTCCAATATAAAGTGCTGATCAACTTATACTAACTTTTCAGTATATCAGGTACCCCTACATAAGACCACCATTGACTAGATATTGTTTGGTTGGTTTTTGGGCCCAGCACTGACACTGACACAATGGGATGGTAGTGTCTGTTGTGCTTCTAGAATTTTTTAACACTGTACATTACACGGTTGTATGCAAAAGTTTGGGCACCCTTGGTTAAATGACATGCTGGAAAAAAAAGGTTCACATCCTCTACAGAGAAAACATTTTAATACACAATTATTGTTTATTTGTTGAATTTAACATAAAACAAAACATAAAATGTTGCCTGTGCAAAACTAATGGCACATTTTGTAATTTATTTTTATGTTTCTACAATATGTTAAACAAATAAACAGAAAATGTGAATTAAATTTTGCAGGAAAAAAATGCCATATTTAAGTTTGTGGAGAATGAATTCACTTATTTTCACTCAGAAAATTAACAAATTGACCAGTGACGCCCAAACTATTGCATACAACTATGTGTTAAACAATGTGGTGAGTTTCAGTCAAATGCATTTTGATAATTTAGATTATGCTAACAGTTATGTATTAGTCATATTTACAATAATAATATGTGTATATCACTAATAATTATATGTTGTTATTTACTATGAATTTAAATTACATTAATAATGAGCAATAATGATTGAATGAATGATAATGAATTCTTATAATACATTCTGTGTACATGTTTTCCCATGTTATTCTCTCCTTTTCTTGCTTTAAAGGACCTCTACCTACATTTTTCTCATTCTCATATTTTATTTAGATTATTATGACTTTGAGGTTTGTGTGGTTTTATGTGCCATAACGGTTGTAATTCATTTTTACAAGCTCATTTTCCAACCTCTCATTATTATCCCTTACAATTAAACACTTTTTTGCAGTGCATTGACTGGTAGTGATATATTGTCGCTATCCAAAATGAAAAAAAAAAAGAAAAAAGTATTTTTCTGTTTTCTGCATAAACCTTTACATTGTGTGAAATCCATGATAATTGGACCAATGAAATGCTCCAAAATTACTGATAAAATCTCTAATACTAATAAAATCTCTTTACATTAACTTACATTAAAAGTAGAGAACATTTTTGCCCTCCTCTGTTCCTATTGGCTGTCCTGCATTGTGCCTCATTCAAAAAGTTCTACCTGAAACACACCTTATAACTTCAACAAGAATGGGTGGGGCTAAACTGCTGTGGTCTGAATATGGATATATGTAAATGTGACCCCATAAAAAAATCAAATCCAAAACTGTCTGTTTTTGCAGTTTCAATGTGTTGTTTAATGTGTTATTTGCTCTGAAACCTGTTATTGATATATTAATAGAATGTATTTATAGAGGTATAATATGTTCTGGTATTTTACAGACATCAGATGAACCCTAAAAATACACACTACTAGCCACTACATAAAGAATCATGGGCTTTAAATTAATTATATAAAATTATGATAAAACTTGTGTATATATGGGATATTTGATGTATGGAGTGTTTCAACTACAGTTTCTCTTTGAAGTTTTCCTAAATATAAGCTTCCCTTCATCTCAGAGAGTCTGTCAGTCAGAGACTTTCAGAACGGGATGTGATCTACTTCCAGGAGAGACACACAGAGAGGTCACCAACAATAAAAACAGGAAAAGGTTCTACAAACCATGGATCATTTTACTGAATTAGTTCAAACACTAAAAACAACTATTTAAAAACAATGAAGTGTTCAGACCTTAGATATTTACAATGATTATATTATGATCTGTTAAAAAACCCAAGGCATTAATAGAGATAGTAATGAGTTAAATATACATTATTTATTAATTATTATACACAATTATCATGTATAGAGCACTTTCATGTGGAAGGTGTCTGTCCCAAACCAGAACTCCTAAATTTCAACTACTGAAAATAAAATCTCCTTTTTTGTATTTATTTCAATGGTTTTTTTAAGATATTTTTAATTGCTTTTAAAGTGAAGTTAAAAGATTTAAACTGATCATGAGATCAATTTTTAAATAAAAAACTTTATTCAAAAAATGCTGCCCTACATTTTCATCTCATTACTGAAACAGAGTTTTAGTCCATAGGTGGAGCCTTGTTTTAGCCACACCCCTGCATTTTAGAGCATAATTGAGGCTGCATCCCTGACCCTCATGGCCACATGGTGAGCAGTTAGATCTCACTGTTTTGAAGTAAATGTGTCCTAAAGTGTGTAACATTAACACTTGTCACTATCGAAACACTGTTTTCTGCAATTAAGTAAACTTTTTTGTGTTTTTAATGAAAAAATGTATGATTTTATGTGTGTGCAACTGTTCAAAGCTGAGTTTGAATGTATACTGGCTAGCGTTTTTGAGTTCTGCTCAAAATGAGCTAAAATTGTCACTACCGAAACAGTCTCTACCGAAACAGTATTAGTTTATTAATACAGTCTATTAGTTTATATTAAGGTATGGCATCATTCAAAGCAAAAGTATTTTAGTCTAAAGTCCAAATCAGTTAAAAGTACAAACTGTATTTTCAGCTCTGACTTTGAACCAATTCAGTAGAACCATCCACACACAATGTGTAAATGAACCCAGTCGGATCAGGAAAACCTTAAATCAGCCACGATTCATGCCATGAAAATATATTTTGAGGAGAAAGCCTCCAGTCTGATTACAGATCCAGTGAAACACCATGACCCTTGGTCTTTATAAGGTCAGTGGAAAGGAATGGTTACTAGACCAACCTTAGCTGTAAAGGTGCACTGAAAAGTGATGCACCGAATTTATATAATTCAAATGAGATTCAAAACTGAATTGATTCAAATCTGTACACATTTAAGCCAATTAATCCAAAGCATCACTTTGTTAGTTCATGCACTTATGAAAGAAGTGACACAGCGTGATTTCTGAGTGAGCCGGTATATGTACAGTGTGTTTGTAGAGCTAGCGGAGCTGCAAATAGCTCTTTAGAAGTCATTAGAGCTGGCCTGAATGTTCTCTCAGAGGAGTGTGGATGGAGGGTGTCCAGCAAGTGTAATGAGTCCTGAGAGAGAGAGAGTGTGAGAGAGAGCGAGAGAGAGAGAGAGAGACAGAGAGAGACAGAGAGAGAGAGAGAGTGAGAGAGAGAGAGAGTGTGAGAGAGAGAGAGAGAGAGAGAGAGAGAGAGAGAGAGAGAGAAAGAGAAAGAGAAAGAGAGAGAGAGAGAGAGACAGAGAGAGACAGAGAGAGAGAGAGAGCGCTCACCTGGCTGGCCCCTCGAGCTTCGGTTGCCGCTGGACACTGACTGAGCACAGAGGAGCCAGATGTACAGCAGCAGCAGTGGTCCACATAGAAACGGCTTCTCATTCATCTACAAGAGCAGAAGACAAGCAACAGAAAACGACTGAACTTTGATGTCTATATTAGATTTTTATAAAGTTTATTATGTGTATTACGTGTCTTGGTCCAACTTAACATTAAAGAAGCTTCAGTCAAAAGCAACAGGTTTTTTTGTAGTTAGTAAATAACAAGTAAAAAAAACTTTAGAATTTCTTTAAATTTTTTAACAAAAATGATTTAAATAGGGCAGACATTTTTGAGAGAGAGAGAGAAAGAGAGAGAGAATGAGAGAGAGAGAGAGAAAGAGAGATAGAGAATGAGAGAGAGAGAGAGAAAGAGAGAGATAGAGAGAGAGAGAGAACAAGAGAGAGAGAGAGAGAGAGATAGAGAATGAGAGAGAGAGAGAGAGAGAGAGAGAGAGAGAGAGAGAGAACGAGAGAGAGAGAGAGAGAGAGAGAGAGAGAGAGAGAGAGAGAGATTGAAATTGGTGCTATTAAGTCTGTCTAATACTGCTGAATAACGGTCTCTGTGCTAATCTGATCTTCCATCTTCCGCTCCTCACTCTCTCTAATATCCTCTACAGTCAATCAGTCGCCTCAGAAACAGCTTCTGACAGCTGGCAAAGTCAAACAGTCATTTGGCAGCAATGCAAATTAAATCTACACAAATAAAGATTTTAAAATCAGCAGTTTGTTTTATCTATAACTTCCGGTTTGATTTGGCTTCCCAGAGAAAACAGTAATGTAAGACAAAACAAGAGAAACCAGTGAGAACAACTCTCTGAGCTCCACAGAGCAAACTCAACACTGTAACAACAAAATCCACAATGTAAGTGAGAATTCAACACTGTAACAATGAAATCAACACTATAAATTAACTCAACACTAACAAAGAAATCAACGCAAAGAGTGAATTCAACACTGTAACAATGAAATAAACACTGTAAGAGTGAATTCAACACTAATAATGAAATAAACACTAAGTGAATTCAACACTGTAACAATGAAATCAACACTAAGTGAATTCAACATTGTAACAATGAAATAAACACTAAGAGTGAATTCAACACTAACAATGAAATCAACACTAAGAGTGAATTCAACACTGTAACAATGAAATAAACACTAAGAGTGAATTCAACACTAACAATGAAATCAACACTAAGAGTGAATTCAACACTAAGAATGAAATCAACACTAAGAGTGAATTCAACACTGTAAGTGAATTCAACACTAATAAAATCAATACTATAAGTGAGCTCAACACTGTAACAATGAAATCAACGCTGTAAGACAGAATTCAGCACTATAATGTCCAGAGCTTCTTCTGAACTCAAGCTTCTAATAGTGTGTCTGTCCCCCTTTGCTGATGTTGGATGATCAGTTCTGGATCCCAAACTCCACTCCGACTCATCTTAAAAGTGCTGAATGGAGCTCCATCATTTCAGAGAACACTGTCCACTGCTCCACAACTCAGAGCTGGACAGTTACAAACTTTTGGAAATGCAGTGTATGTTTATTAATCACGAACTAATAAGAATGTTAACACACTTAATACTCAGCCTTTCCCTCCACTGGATTTCTACCATTCTTTTTGGAAGTTTCCGTTCCACCTTAAACTGTAATAAAATGTATTAAAATTTAAGGTGGAACGGAAAGTTTGAATGAGATGCCGTGATCAGCTTCGTGGTTTAGACGGATCTTACCTTTTAAACTCGGATCTGCTGGAGAAGCTCAGTGGACAGCTGGCAGGACAAGTCACGAGAATAAAAGCCATTTCCACGCAGTAAGAATTACTACAGATGATGTATGTATTGTTTTAAGCTGGAGAACAAAACAAATGAGCCATAATGAGCTGAGCTGTGAGGAGCTCCTGTGTCCTCCTCCTCCTCCTCCTCCTCCTCACCTTTGTTGCAGTCTGTTCGCTTCTCGGTCTCTCAGTCACGCCCCGTGTTCAGCGGGAGGCTCTTCATCTCTCTGTGTTTCCCCTGTGCTGAACGCGCGAGCGGAACCGGCTCCAGCATCAAGAGGAGGGCAAACCATCGGCGCGTTTGCGTTTTTCTCAGCTTTGACACAGAAGGCTCAGTGTACTGTTGTAGTTGTGGTGAGTCAGAAGTCAAGTTCAATTATCCCAGCCTGTCTCCACACGGCAGGATGGAGCTTTATCCATCAGCACAAACTTAATCAAGACACCATCTGCTGCCGGACCGGAGCAGACCTCCCCCATTACTCCTCCAAAGCAGATTACTCGAGTTTGTTAGCTGTGCTCCATGAAAGCATCGATCCAGTGGGCCACGCTTTACTTTCTGCCTCTTTCTGTGGTTTTTACTGGGTCACTTCATTAAAACCACCTCCTTGTTTCTACCCTTATTGTCCATTTCATCAGCTCCACTGACCATACAGCACTTTGTTGTACATCTGTTTCTCTACACGCTTTGTTTGCCCTCTTTTACCCTGTTCTTCAGTGGTCAGGACCCCCACAGGACCACCACAGAGCAGGTATTTGGGTGGTGTATCATTCTCAGCACTGCAGTAACACTGATGTGGTGCTTGTGTGAGTGGATCAGACACAGTAGTGCTGCTGGAGTTTTTAAACACCTCAGTGTCACTGCTGGACTGAGAATAATCCACCAACCAAAAATATCCAGCCAACAGCGTCCTGTGGGCAGCATCCTGTGACCACTGATGAAGGACTAGAGGATGACCAACACAGACTGTGCAGCAGCAGATGAGCTATCGTCTCTGACTTTACATCTACAAGGTGTAGTACCTGTAATGTGAGGGTCCATGGGGGTCCTCACCACTGAAGAACAGGGTAAAAGGGGGCTAACAAAGTATGCAGAGAAACAGATGGACTACAGTCTGTAACTGTAGAACTACAAAGTGCACCTATATAGTAAGTGGAGCTGATAAAATGGACGGTGGTTAATGAAGTGGCTGGTCAGTGATGACTACTGTGGCCCTCTCAGTCATGAATGGATTTTAAAAATAAGATCAATTAAAATCGATGTCTTTCGCATCAGTGTATTCATAAAAATTGCATTAACCTTATAAACGTGATTCCTAACAAATACACTTGAGTAAAAGACGAATACAGATATAAAAGTTATGAATGCTGATATGAAAAGTATAAATCCATCATAAATTTACTTTTGTACTCTTGTAACTAGTAAGTATCCACCTCTGTTTACACTGACTGATCAGAAGATTTGCTGCTAAACTTCAGGCTGTATGTTTTCCACAACTCAACTGTTATAACAACATAAAGCTAAAAAATATATTATTTTTTTTTAAGCAGGCACACTGCTTTTCTAAAATGGATTTTTGACTTTACCACAACTGACACCCTTCAGAAATATCTTAAAAATTACTTTTAAATTCCAGTAGCAAATGAATCCCTTTTGAACAGGTGGAAGAATTATCAGTAACATAACAGTTATCCAACTCAAAATGCCCAACCTCCTGTCTCTTAACCATCAGTTGTAGAACATACAGATTAGAATACGACTGTGCTTGTACAGCTGTGACCATATCTATGCCAGTAAATGACCAAAAATGATCATAGACATTCACTGTCCACTTTATTAGAAACACCTACCTTGCATGTCCACTTACTGACAACTTAATGAGCTCTGCTGACCTTGCAAATCTTATAATATATGTTTACAGACTGCAGCCCGTCTGTTGTAAAGCACAGCGTCAGCTGCCATTTACCCCATTCTTTAAGTCAGTTTCTGCCCCCGGGGCCACTGCTGACCGGCATTATTTAGGTGGTATACTATTCTAAGCATAGCAGTGACACAGAAAAGGCAGCAGTACGGTGGTGGAAGTGCGCTGGCCAGCATTCAAGACCTTCTGCAAAGTACTGTTTTTGTGTGTTTTTAATTACAGATCATGTTTACTGTCACACATATGATTGACCAGTGATATGTACATTTGACGAGATGAACAAAACCAGCTCCTGATAAAAACACCAAGCATCATTGTGAGTTTTCAAAGAAATCTGTACCACCAGTGCAGAATACTGTCTGTGCCAGCAACTTCTTCAGACGCTCATGGCTTGTGTAGGTGGTGAAATGACAACAGAAGTTTATCTTCAAATGACAAACACACTTTGAAGTGACGAGACTTCAAAAGGAGATTTTCTGAGGGACTGAATAAGCACACAACATAAACATTACAGGTGTACCCAGAATCAGCCTTATTTACACAATAAAACAGATACTTAAATATTAATTACAGCTAATATGTTAGTTCTGTGAAGGAGAGGCAGTCACGCCAATAAACTGTGGAGAGAGACAGGCTTCACTGCAGTATTCTATCAGGAAGGGTCTGATATACGGGGCTGTGTTCAGGACGTGAAGTTCAGCTTGAAGAGGACTGTTTGAGGGGTGGTCACATCAGCCACAGCTAACTCCTGTCCATCAGCCAATCCCAGCTCTGCAACAATCCAAAGAAACAAAGAAACAAAGAAACATCTATAGCTACAGGTAGGGCTGCACAGCAAAGGGAAAAAGGATAATCACCATTTCTTTAATATTATATTGGAATTGCAATCCTAACTAGTCAGCTAATTTAACCAAAATAGTTTTCTTGTTCATTATTTCAAACTTTGTTACACTGTACATTAGAATCATGTATCAAAATATCCTACAACATATAAATGATAAAGCAGTTAACTGACAAACAACTGTTTGGCCAATGCTCTTTTCTTTTAATGAGCATTTAGTTTTACTTCACTACCAATAAACAACAGTTCCTATCTGAATAGACAGGTTTATCGTTAAATGTTTTCAAATTTTATACGAGAGCAGAAAATAGGCAAATGATTCCACTAGACAGACCTCCAAAAACTGAAGCTAAAATAGTGGCGTTTGGGAGCACTTTACAAGAGGACAGAAGCTCGAACTACAAGATGTACCATATTGAAAGCAAACATCTGCAAGCACTAAGAAAGACAACTATTTCATCCATGTGCTCCAAGTGTGATGCACAGTGGTGTCACACGAGTGTGCAAAATTATAAAGAAGGATGTGGTGGAGGCGACGGCTTTTGAGTGTGGCGGGTGTTTTTCAGACCGAAATATGTTTCTTTACACATTGAACTCGTATTGTTCAGGTCTCAAATGCAAAATCAACAAAATACTGATGAAGATATTATAACAGTAGCAGATAATTCACTTACATTCACTGCTCAGAGAAAGGGTCCAAAGCACAACCGACGTTATGTTTTTCCTGCACATTGCGTGCAATTACACATTTCCACCACAATAAAATACAACTTAACAACAGGTCTCCAAATCCTTAAAATTGACATAGTATAGCTTTCTTTCATAAGGTATGTTAAATACAGTTTTGAACCGTTTATTTGAGCCTGACATATCAGTACTACATTTCACGGTGCATACAAGGAACATATTTTAATATCTCATTATTCATTATCAGTGCATTGATACTTACTTCAGTGAACACCGATACTTACATTTTGATGTAACTGACTGATGTGCGTGCTTGAATGTGTATATATCAAGTATTTTACAATAGTTTTTCAACTATATACATAAAAATAATAATAATAATAATAATAATAATAATAATAATAATAATATTATTGTCAAAACAATTCGATATTTAAAAAAAAAATGCATTTCTACCACTACAATATGTAACAAAATTGATACGGCACGTCTACATAGAAAAGTAAGCCCATTATACTTTTCACCAGACAGTTCATTAGCGTATAATTTTTTTTGCCACTGGTGCCTTAAAACAACATTATTTAACTTTCAGGTTACCTTGGTCAATTATGTTTAATCGACTGAAGAAGCCAAAAATTGTGATCACAATTAATATATGATTAAAGGCACAGTCTTAGTTCCAAGTTATGTTCTGGCTTTGTACTATAGTACTTGTTACAAATATTTGGAAACAGGTTGTATATCTTTCTGTCTATGTGAAAATGTGATTAAGTTTGACTGAAATGTATGGTTCCTCTTACCTTTCAATGTTTTGCAGAGATTTGGCCTTGTTCTTTCTTCAATTGAGGCGACAGTCTAGACAAACATAAAACATACACATATCTGAGTAACATCTCGAACACAGCACTTCTAAATTACCTTTATAGACAGAGTCTTACCTGTAAGTACAGCGTTTTATTTTTGCCTTCAAGTGTTGCAGTGATAGCTGGAGATTTCATTTGTCTGAAAATATGAAACATAACCTACTCATCAATGCATGACCTCTCAGAGCTCAAAGGGAATGAAAAGAATATTTCTCAATCATAAATTTCATAGGAGTTATTTAGCAGTACTCACAGAGAGGAGTTCTCTGTCAAATACTCCAGTACTTCCTGTAGTTTAGCAGAGGGTGGAAACTGTAGTTTCTGAGGAACTTGACTACATGCTGAGCAATTTTCCTGTTTGACAGATAGCAAGAACACAAATACAAAGCATTTTTCACTATTTAAAACAAAGTACACTGTGACAAGAGCTTAAATTGTAATCAATGAATTGTGTAATTAATTGATAATACATAAAAAAAGCAGGGTTACCTTTCGCTCTGCCTCAAAGGTATAAGTATACAACCCATCCACATCATTGAACACCAGATAATTATTCAAAGGAATATAAGCACTGAAAAACAAACAAATATTTATGCGGACAAAATTAACAAGATATTTAGATAATAACGTATTATTGGTTTGACCATGAACACACCAAAAGTAACTAATGTTTAAAATTCAGAGTGAGGAGTCAAAATAATTGAATACATTTAGAAAATTACATGAAGTTCAGAAGTTCACATGACAGAAGAGAAAAAGCAGAAGGAAAATTCACCTTGTAGCAATCTTAAAAACTTCTGTAGCACAAGCAGCTGCAAAAATATACACAGTAAGTAAAATATGTGCAAAGTTAAAGGTGTTTTATTATTTGTATTACATTACATATTCAGCTTTTATATACGACAAGACATCTTTTGTCTACTCTGTGCTCATTTAAGGAATAAGAAGAAATAGAAGAAGAGCTTAGAAGACCTTAGCATGTTAAGTACACCAATTTTCTTCAGTTCTGAAAATAAAACTAAGTGTAATGAGCCGAGTAGAGAGGAAATGTGTTGTGTCTGCTTTGAGCCGTACCAGCGATGACTGCATTGGTGGAGGCAACAGCAGGGATGATTCTTTTAACCACTCCTAGAAACCCAGAACATGAAAAGGAATCAATCACAGTAGAATGCTGAAGCAGAGTACTTACACAGCATCACAGGACAACATGCTTACAGCTAGAAACTCAAAATGCAGGGTCTTTATGGCTTTACCTTGAGTGAGTCTATAGGTAACTCCAGTGATGCTGAACTCAGCTGCTCTTTCCAGAGACTTCTGAAACACCCACTGAATGTGTTCAGGGTTATCACCATCCAGAGCCACATCATCTGCACAGAGCATGCAAACATTTAAAATAATGCAGACGTCAGAATATTAATGTTTAAGTATATTAGGTTTCTTACTGCTGTTAATTTCATCACAATTTCATTGCCAAGATGACATGAGCTTTGGTTTGGATTTAAAATCATGAACAACTGTCAGCATCTGTAACATTAAAGACAATAACATAACGATGCCTGTCACAATCATAAAATTTTAGCAGATGATTAATTGCTATACAAATAATTGTGATTAACCGTTTAATTATCCTGTTTTGTTTGTTGCATGCAACCGTTAGCATATAATCATAAAGTGGCCAAGCTGGCTGATTAGCTATCCTACTACTGAGCTGCTGATGTGACAAAAACAGCTTGAGATCAAACAAACAAACAAAAACAAACAAACAAACATTATTCACCGCTGCCCTCTAAAAGACTTACAGTGTCGGAAGTTAGAACTCTGGAGTGTCTCAATAAATGTGTTTTCTCCTTCTTTCACATACATGTATTTGCCTCAACCAAATGGATGTGTTTGTTGTGAAGCATATGATTATAAAAAAAGAAACCAACTGTGGAAAATAACTGTGGTCAGCTCAAATAATGGCGATCAGCCAATTATGTAATAATTTTGACAGGTCTCTAATGACCCACAACATACTGACCCTCACAAATCACAAACTCAACCAATCATTTGATCAGTTCTACTTAAATTTCAGAAGTATACATTACATGCTGCAAGACGCTGGCACATGTTCATGCAGCCTAGCTCTACCAGATGTTCTGACACAGTATTAGGACTGTGCGGTACTGATAAAAGTGCGATGTTCAGTAAAGCTGTTGAATATCACAATGACGATATGAGAAGCAATAAAATATTATAAAAATAAGCGTGCCCCTGACTGGATGTGACGCAAGTAAAGAGATTTTTTTTCGGATGTGTAAACAGAAATCTAACAACCTCTCCTTTACGTACAAAGCAAAATACAAAATTACAAAAGCACCATTCACTATTGGGCAAAATAAAAAGAAATGCAATACTAACAACTATTTACATCAAAACTTTAAGAACATTTTTTGTGCACTAAAAGGTGAGAAAGTCAGCATTACCTCAGAGGCTTTTTCTATAAAAGCTACAAAAACAAATATTTATTTTTATGTAGACAAACAAGAACAAAAATATTTTTGTTTATTTATTTGTTTAAATATGTTAAATAATTAACATATGATTAAATATGTTTGTTTTGACAGTATCTATTATTGCCTGGCACGCTTAAAACACAATAATAGATGTGTGAACACTCAGGCCTGCAGTTCAGGATGGAGTAGTTTGAGTTGTGCACATGTATACTGCAGTTGGCCATTCAGCCTAATGGTTAAGTCATTCATTCTCCATCTGGGTGAACAGGATTCAATCCCAGCACAAAGAAGCACTCACTGGGCTTGTAATGATGTCTCTCTGGCAGCATCTTAAAGATGCATTTATTATGAAAACTCACTACATGAGAACAACAAAATAGATTTTTATCTTGCAGCTATACACTATAGGTATGAATGGTCAAACTTTCACGTTATATTATACATATAAGAATATATGCCATATCCATGACTTAACTATTTTACTTATATGTGCAGGACATTTTTTCAGTGTTCTTATCTTCCAGGTGTTTTTCATGGCTGGAAAACAAGTCTATACATTTTCATACAGGACGTATGGGAACACTGTGAATTATCAAAACCCAGAGAGTGTCAAAAGTAATGCTTTCATTGACAGGGCAAAAATCATTTAATCCTTTTCAGTGCAAAGTGACAATTACAACAGTGCTTATAAAATGTAGGCACTGCCAGAACAAGCATACAAGTACCTCCAAATGGCTTTTCTTTGGGCCACTGCAGTATCCTCACATACTCGATGCAGTGTTCAGGCAGCCGTGGCATTGATGCAATAGTGCACATAGGGAAATTAATCTTTAAGGAAGAAAAAAAAAAAATAAAAAATAAAGACAGACCAATGACAGAATCAGAAATGCACTGAGGTCTCAATAGCTGGAAGAAGACACTGCAAAAACTGAAATGACAACACGTTTACAAGGTGTTGTGATAATGTACTCATACATAAATGTAGCACTATAACAACCTGTGCTGAATTAAGGGTGAACTACATTAAGCAAACATTAGTACCTGAGGAGGGTACAGCTCCAGTGTGCAGTCTATACACGCCGTCATTCCAGGCAGGATGACCCTTGCGTTCCCCTTAAAACCTTCTGTACCTCCATCTATCAGGGGGATGATGGAGCTAGGATCCAAAACCCCATCTTCATACACGAGCAGGGACAACTGAGGAGAGCCCACACAGCCACAGTCAGGCAAGAATAGCCTGCTTACATGCTGATTCCAACTTGTAACAGGAGAAAGGGCCATATGAATACTGTGGTGGTGATGTGGCATGAGAAGCTCTATACACTACTGACAGGCATAAATGCACATCACCATCCTTTGATGCAGGATTGTTTTGATCTTACTGAAATCACAGCTCTGGATTTTGAATAGATACAAGCAATTCAGCTCTAAGACAGAACTGTGGATCAACCTGATGCATTCTAAATAAATGGGGATATTTAAACAATAGATCTAATGTCTGAAATGGAAAAAACAAAACATGTACTAACCAGCATCCCATTCATCCAGCGGCGAGCAATGATGGAGTCCAACCCACACACGATAATGTGGAATTCTGTATAAGAGCCAGAGCAAAACAAGATGAAGCAGGAGTTTCTGTATGTCATATTATAGCTGCCATTACTGATTACATTTTTAATCAAGTAATCAGTTATTACATATTATTTTGACAACTAATTGAGAAATCAACTTTAAGAAATGCCAATAAACACTAACAAAGCATGCAGTTTTTTTTAAAAATTGCAAAACATTTTACTGTAAATAAATATATATATAAATAATATAATATGTAATATATTTGTCAATAAAAATATATATAAACATTATGCAGCTTTAACATTTCTACCCAGAAAAGAGGTTCATCACTAATCAAACTTACGTCTGTAAAAGGATTCATCAAAATCTTGAATTTTTTTGAAGTGACTTAAGTGCTTGTTAAGGAAAGAGAAACTACACCATCACTGCGTTACAACTAAATATTCACTGTGTGCATGCTGTGAAGGATACGGTACAACGTGACATCCAGGAACTCGACTGTTCACAAAGTCAGCTGCCACCTCAGCCTTGGGCCGACCTACGTCTTTAGACCTTTGAAGGAGATGTGCAAAAAAAGAAAGCCAACACGGTCAACGTGAAAACTGTGACTGCTACAAATAAGAAAGATTTCAACTCAAAGCCACAGTGTTCAGAGGTGAGTGGGTGCATAAACTGCAGTCTTGCCTGAAAAGGAACTGTCTGTTCAGATTGGACACATCAATGGTGTCCATGTCTACGACGTGGATCTGGCGAAAACCTGACAGTGCCTGAAACAGAGGGATGTGTCAAACGCTCACTGCAATGAAGTGACAATAACCCACTGTATCCGCTGTATTTGATATATACATTTTCTTGTACTAATGGGGCTGTCACCACTGGTTATATATCAGTAATTGAGCAATTTACTGATATTTAACATTTCCACCCAGAAAAGAGGTTCATCACTAATCAAACTTACGTCTGTAAAAGGATTCATCAAAATCTTCATCAAAAAAATTTTTTTTACAATCTCTGACTAATTTGGACAATTAAACAACATAAACATTTAACTTAAACCATGCACTGCCTTTCAAAGACTCAAAAATACTTCACTGGAAAAGGATAATCAAATAAATCTTAAAAAATAACTTCACTAAAGGAACAATATGAAATATATTTACTGTACTAAACCATAAAATGATCATAATGTCATCAGAGGAATGGAAACGGTTAAGGAAACATGCTATGCTGAAATACTGGCTTCTCTGACAACAATGCTATAGCCAATTTGTCCTCCTTTAAAATTTCCAAATCCGAAACGGAAAGTCCATTTGTGTTTTGGCCTGTGATCCCACCCGCTGCCGATTTCCGAGTACCATTCCAACACTCCGGACCGCCAGATATTAAACAAATTGGCAGGCAAACACAGCGTGCTGCAGCCATGGAAGCAAGCAAACAAGGTGGATCAATAGAGGTAACGTTAGCAAAAACATTAGTAAGATAATGCCCTAAAAAAACCTAGGCATCCTTCTAAAAGCTCTACGACCACACAGAGTTAAATGCAAGGAAATATTGCTGATGCATTTGAAAGTTGGAGACAACTTAGAGCCCCGAAGGACTTTAAGATAGATGTTGATTTGGCTAATTTTCCTCAGGTAAGTGAAATTCATCACAGGCCAAAGGTGCCACACATCACAGCACAGGCTTGGTTCCAGCAAACTGAAGCTAAAATGACACCTGTTTTGAGTACATTAGAGTGCGCAAAGTGGAGTGACTGGCGTTAGAGTGAAAGCTAAAATCAAGTGTGTTCTGAGGTGTGTGGTGCCAGTACTGTGCTCAGTTTCAGAGTTTTTTTTCTGGCTCTAAAGCTACGTTCACACTACCAGGTTGAAGTGGCACAAATCCGATTTTTTGCCCTAATGTGACAGATCTGATGTTTTCAGGGCTGTGTGGACACGCAAATCTGATCTTTTCAAATCCGACCTGAGCCACTTTCAGATGTGGTCCTAGATCGGATACGTATCTGATTCATGGCCATGCGACCTTAATGTGCCGCTCAGATCGAAATTCATGTGCTTTTTTTCCCACTGCGCATGCGCTATCATTCAGCGTTACCATGGCAGCAGCGCCGAACAGAAGTTAAATCCTGTAAACAGTAGAAAAGCAGCACATCTCACCTTTTTCACCTTCGTTTCGCTCTAATAATGAAGCTGGGTAGTGTGTTTGTTGATGTACGTGATTCGTTCATGTGACGTTACTGAGCAGGATGTGCGCATGCAGGGCATTTCAGGACGCCGGTTCGTTCACAATAATGACAGATTTGAGTCACTTACCTAAACAAGTGTGAACCATACTGTCAGAGAGATCAGATTTGAGCAAAAAATCGGATTTGAGCCATGAGGCTTGTAATGTGAACGTAGCTTAATTTTTCTCCTCTTTCTACCAGTGCTACCAATCAGTAAGCTTCTTTAAAAATATAAATGGGTGGAATGTGTTTATTTTGCCTTTCAGATAGGCAATAAAAATTGGACAAATCATCATTTTGAAACACTACCATCATTTTTAAATCTTGGAATTACTTTTAAAACACCATATTATACCTTATTACCATTATATTGCCCAACCCAACATTTAAAACATGCATCTTGCATATTGCTAACTCACTACTTGAGAAGGTAAATTTTAGGGGGATTTAATAGTAACAGTGACAGCCTCATTCTGAATCTCCAAACTCAAGCAAGCAGGATTCTAAATTGCACAGACAAAGGTACAATAATAAAAAAGCATGTTTACAGTTCCATCAGACAACATTAGAACTTTACCAGGTTCTTTAGCAGCTCACAGCCAAGACCTCCTGCTCCGATCACTAGAATCTTGCATGTTTCCAATAAAAACTGGAGAGTCTTTAACAAAAAAGGGAAATGAAAGGAAGTGATCAACTGCAACACTAAAGATAAATATTTGGTCAAATAGATATTTGTTCAAAACCTTTTAGTGGCTCACCTCATCACTTGCTTCAAAATCAGGATGCGTAAAGGGGCCAGATCTCTCCAGAAACTTCTGCACGTGACTCCATCGCCCATCCCAATCACCACTGCTGCCGACATCCACTGCCATTCTGGAGAGAAAAACCTAATCACTGCATATAGAATTACGCTCAATAAATAGACCAATAAAATCATAAACAGATTAAACAAGCACTATAAACTGGCCTGTGGACCAGTCATAATGTCCAATGACAGTCCAAACACCAGACAGCAAGAAAAATATACACACATCTCACACAATGTGCACAAGGTTAGTAGATTAACCACACAACAGATCTGGAATTCATTCATACTGAATTTTATGTTGCAGGGGAGCTGAAACAGGATCATAATAAAAACAAAAGTCATAATATAGCCTGCATAACAGGCTCTGACTGTTCTTTCTTTCTGAAATAAACTAACTTTATTTATACTATGATTCTTATCTAATGATTTGAACTATCCTAAATTAGAGGAAAAAATGTAATTCGTTTTATAGAAGGGTGTAACGATTTTAATATATTACCACTATGAATGTTCAAAATTTAAATCTGTATCACTGACACACCCATTGCTCTCTTTTGAGCATCTCACAGCATTTTTTAATGTAAACGTCAAAATGTGGAAAAAATTTAAACAGTAATTTGTTTATAGTCGATGCCTCGACCCAGACTTTGCAAAGATTTTGCGAATATGTAATTGTGCTTTGTGTAAAATGTAGACATGCTATACTAGGAGTGGGCAACATGATATTTATTGTTGTGATAATTTACATCACATAATATCACAGTATTTATTTCTGAGCATATCATGGATATTGTCAGTACTTGGAAACCACTGACAAACTGTATATTCCAGCATAAAAGCAGCCAAATTAGTTCTGTTTAACTGGATGTACTACATTATGCCTTGTGTGGGAAATAGTCCCTGGTACTTCAGGGGTTCCATGTTCGCTGGCTATTAACTCACTCGCCATAACGGCCCTGATGCTAGCTTCAATGGCAATGAGGTTCCCCACATTAATTAAAGATCTTACACATCTTTTTTATCTTCGGTTTTAGAAATGAGTAACAATTCACTCTTTCTACCAGTCTCTTGGGCGAGTTTTCAGCTTTGCAAATATGCTACGGCATACTGTAAAGTTTTTCCGTGGTATCCTGGGCATAGTTACAGTTGCTAGGCTATGAAGGACCAACTATCTGCAACAGCGCAACCCTGAGACAGACGTGTGCAGCATCATTAGTTGCTACTCGCCATTTCCAGGCTTCACCTTTCCCTGAATTTGCATTTTTTTTCCACTAACAGATGGCATGACACAGTTTTCAGGGGTCACTCAGAATTTTGATTTTGAGACATTCAGGGGGTCCAAGAGGTTAATTAGGTGGTCCTTGATTATGTGTAATAAAAAATCACTGAATTCATACTTTTTGATAGCATCTTTTTTAAAATGTGGCCATACTATTTCTTTTTTGCCTCATCAAAGCTCAGAAAAACTACATACTGTGATGACAGTGAGCATTTGTCAAAGTGACTTTAAGCATTACAATATTATATTTGTGCCATATCACCCACCCCTACAACACATCACTGTTGTCAGAAGAAAACCTCATATCTCCATTTTCCATGTTTTTCAGTTTTTGACATAATTTGAAAGTACCTATTGCCTATTAGATTGTGTGTAAATTTCAATATGAATGGACTAAAGGCAATGACCCAAAATGACTTGGAAAAAATTCTGGTTCCACTGACTTACATTAAAAGTAAAGTATGTTTTTTCCTTCTCCTGTAAAGTTACCATTTTGGAGATAGGAGGTTTTCTTCCGATAACAGTGATATAAAAGTTTATACAAGGCAGTTCAGGGTTTTTATTGTTCACAGGGGTGCCGTTTTATACTACTCTGCAATGTTTTAAAAATAAAAGTTGTATAATTAGAGCTCTGCAGAATGAAGACATTAACAGATGGAACTAAAGTTAAATAAACTATTAAAACACAAAACTAAATCGAAAAATAACACGGAACCTGAAAACAGGTGTAAATTAACCGTCACATCCTACTGTCAAACTAGGGTGTCACTGTGTAAGCAGTGCCGGCTCTCACTACCAGCCTGTCTGTCTGTTATGGAACCAGGCGTCAAAATCAGGACCTGACATTGATTTAACAAAGAGACACTTCCAAAAAGGATTTGGTGCAAATGTGCTACGTAACGTTGGCTACAGTACAACATGTGAAAATTCATCACCACTTCATTTCTCCTAATGAACGTTACTCCTCTCTACAACGGCCTTGTTTATTTGTGCTGACAAGCACAGAGGCTAGTTAGCCGCTAGCCAGCTAACTTAGCTAGCTAATATCTTACAATGAAGTCCAAATAGAAAAATCCTTCCTCTGTTTCTTTCTTCCTCGCGTTTTGAGCCGCTCCAATCTGTGTTCTGTACTTTTTATCAAGTGGATAGTCTCGGTTCGGATGAGAAAGGATGAATTTTCACACTCCCTATGCTGTGAATACTCAAACCTGCAGCCAGCGCTTAGCATTTCATCACTAACTTCTCAGTCAGCTCCTCTATTCTCCTTCTTTTCTTCTCCCTAAAAAGAGAGAATAAAAGAAGGTTCAAGCACACTCGTATAGCACCAGGTGGTTATCCACACATTATCATAATCTGTTCCCTAAATATTTGGTTCATTCAACGCTACTTACGGCTCTTCCCCATCCGCCATACTTTATGCTTTCACCGTGCCATGCCTTCCCACAATGCACTGCCGCCGGCTCCGACTTTAAGCGTGTCCAGTGAAGTTTGGTGAGTTTAGCGCGTCCCTCATTCGCTCGCTTTAACTCGGACAGGGTCACTTTATTACCACTAATACTGTTTAATCTGTCGAACTGATAGAACAGAGGCTTCTTTATGTTATTATATTTCTAAACATGGGAGCTCGTTATCTTTTATAAGGTCGTAGACACTTTTATTTGAAAATATAGCTATCCTCTAGCTTTAGCCAATGACTGGCTTTCACTTTTTAACCTACCTTTTTATTTACAATAATAATAGAAACAAATTTAATATAAGTAATAATATTATAATCAAAATTATGTGTATATACATACGTGTATATATATATATATATATATATATATATGTGTAGGTGTGTGTGTGTGTGTGATTATTTATACACCGCATAACATTATGACCATTGTTTCTACGCTCATTGTCCATTTTATTAGCTCCACTTAATATATAGGTGTATGGACCCTTATGGACCCTCACAGAGCAGGTACTATTTGGGTGGTGGATCATTCGCAGTACTGCAGTAACACTGACGTGATGGTGGTTGTAGTAAGTGGAGCTGATAAAATGGACAATGAGCGTAGAAACAAGGAGGTGGTCATAATGTTATGCCTGATCAGTATACATATACATATATATGTATATATGTGTGTGTGTGTGTGATTATATATACACCGCATAACATTATGACCACCTCCTTGTTTCTACACTCATTGTCCATTTTATCAGCTCCACTTACTATATAGGTGCACTTTGTAGTTCTACAATTACAGACTGTAGTCCATCTGTTTCTCTGCATACTTTGTTAGCCCCCTTTTACCCTGTTCTTCAGTGGTCAGGACCCACAAGGACCCTCACAGAGCAGGTACTGTTTGGGTGGTGGATCATTCTCAGCACTGCAGTAACAATGACGTGGTGGTGGTGTGTTAGTGTGTGTTGTGCTGGTCTGAGTGGATCAGGCACAGCAGTGCTGCTGGAGGTTTTTAAACACCTCAGTGTCACTGCTGGGCTGAGAATAGTCCACCAACCAAACATATCCAGCTAACACCGTCCTGTGAGCAGCATCCTGTGACCACTGATGAAGGACTAGAGGATGACCAACACAGACTGTGCAGCAGCAGATGAGCTATCGTCTCTGACTTTACATCTACAAGGTGGACAGACAAGGTAGGAGTGTCTAATAGAGTGGACACAGTGTTTAAAAACTCCAGCAGCACTGCTGTGTCGGATCCACTCAGACCAGCACAACACACACTAACACACCACCACCACGTCAGTGTTACTGCAGTGCTGAGAATGATCCACCACCCAAATAGTACCCGTAATGGTCATAATGCCTGTTTGGTGTATACATTATATAATATATATAATATATTTCAAAATTAATTTCACAGGATAGCATCCACTTTGTGGGTTAGAAGGATTTTTTTGGAAGTGGCCAAATTGCTTTCCATTGAATTTTACAAGACATGTTATTCCAAATATAAACAGCAGGGGGAGTGGTTACAGTGGCTTGAGTATTTGTTATTCCTTCGTAGATTTCAGGCTTACTAGAGGGCAGTCAACACCAATGTACAGTTTAGAGACTGTATAGAAGGTATATCACAGTCTTTCTAGCACCTGTTGGTATCGCATCAAAGAAAACAGCGAACCTCTTAGAGTGAGAGGGAATGTTTAGGTTTTAATGAATTCTGCATATCTAAGTAATAAATCCCTAATTTTAAGCAGTTGACTAACCAGCAGAATTACACTATCATCCCTTGTCCTTATTGTTCCAAATCAGACGAGCAGTTGGGAGTGTGCTGTATGAAGCCTTGAACTCTCCACATTCCTGCATATCAGCATTAAAATTTTTAACACTATAACAGGGCTTGAAAGATGAACACGTGCAAAAAATGAAAGGCCACAAAATCTACATGAAAACTGCTACAAATAAGAGAGATATTAACTCAAAGCCAAGCTGTGTCGCTTTGCATAAACTGCAGTCTTGCCTGGAAAGAAACTGTCTGTTCAAATCGGACACATCAGTGGTCTTCATGTCTACGACGAAAACCTGACAGTGCCTGAAATAGAGGAATGAATTAAACACTCACTACAGTGACAATGATCCATTTTATTCACAGTATTTGCTGCACAAAATTTCCTACACAAATATTGTGTTTGAATTCACTTAATTAATATACTGTCACAGTCCAAATCATGCATCTCCATTTTTGTTGTTTTTTATTTATTTTTTTTTTTACATCATTTTAACACTCTAGCTTTTACGTTGTGTGAAAAGTTCATGATGAATGGACCAATAGAAATGCTCTAAAATCACTTAACTAAAGTTACTATTTTGGAGATACTTCTCTTTCTTGCAATGATATTTGAGAATCCAAATTCAAAGACTTTGATTACCTCGACCAGGGGTGTCCAGAGATCCGCCCCACGGCCAAATGTGGCATGCAGACAGATTTCAAGTGGCCCATGGCTTCTATTTTAGAATGTGTTATAAGTGGCCTGGTAGCCAATATGTTGCAGTGTTTCGTTTCACCTGATGGTTTCATTTGGTTTAGTCAAGACTACAGCCATAAAGCGCAAACTTGACATTGAGAACCGGTGATTTTGACAAGATGGAAATTTGAATACTTTTTCATTAAGAGCCACAGCAGATGTATATGTCAAAAGACCAGTGGCGTAACTGGGATCTTAAGGTGCCAGTGCAAAAACAATTAATGGGCCCCTACACCATAAAAAATTACTTTCAATTAATAAAAAATGACAGCGGAATTCGTACGTTTATTCGGTATTACGTCTCAAGCGAGCTGATGCTCTCAAGGCATACATAGTCCCAATGCATTTTTTATTTGTGTTTATGTTTCTAATGTTAGTGTTTCTGGAACAAATAAACTCTTAGATAAGGAACTTTACATGTCATTTTTGAGTTGCTTGTTATTGTTTACAATAAGAAGTGATTCCAGACTTGAAATGTGTTATACTAAATAGTCTATTTAGTATGACACCCATCCATGAAGTATGACAGCACCATAATCAGCTTACTCCAGTGCAAGAGGGTCCGCGGGCCCCGCTGCGACTGCCCACTCTGCACCCCCTCTAGTAATGCCACTGCAAAAGATTATAATGAATTTAATATCAGTAGACATGAAACAAATCATGGACGTTACAGTAAATACTCAGGAGAGGGCAGAGTTACTAAAGAAACTGCAAGCTACCCGAGTCTCACAGCACCAGCTTCTCATCAGAGCAAATTCAGAAGTTTAGTATATATTAACCCTTTAAAGCCGTACATGTGGCTATTTATGCTATTAAATTTGCTCTTCTCATTTAATAAAGTGATTTTTGAATATTGTCAATGTATTTATTTGATACATTAAGAACTATTTCAAACATTTTTTTGTGAAACTAAAACCAAGGAAATACGACCAAAGAAAGAAGGGAAAATTCACAGCGTGGTCTATCAACTCACATCTTATCGCTGCTTTTGTTTAAAATAACTGAGACTGCTCACTCAGACTTTACAGAGCCATTCAAACCAGAGGTCACCTTCTGCCTAAAGACTTTGGTGCTAACCACTTCAAAAACAACATGAATAATTCAACAAACCTTCATCTAAGGAAATGCAGTTGTCCTCTATTGAGTTTGAGTTGAGATATTGTGCTGTATGTTAACCTCTATTACAAAAAAAAAATCCACACTGACCTGCACTTAAACACAGACTTCACAAAGACAAGGCATGTGATGTTTTACCTTATCAACTACAGTGCTTTTTGTAAATATACACTCATTCTGAAATTGATGCATGTAACATGCTCCAGAAAAGTAGTGAAATTATCAAAAAACATTTTAAACAGGGGATGCAATTATGCTTGGTTAAAGAGAGCATGTAGGAAAGGCCTAGGCTTCTATGAGCAAGGGTGGGTCAAGGCTTGTCACTTTGCCAAAACATGTATCAACAAATTAGCTGAAGAACAGCATTACTCAACAAGTGGGCGAAAGAATTTTAGGCATTTTACCTTCTACAATGCATAATATCAGAAAAATCAGGAGAAATGCCTGTCCATCGAGGGCAAGGCCAAAAAAATACATCTGAATGCCCATCAGATAGTACTTCATTAAAAAACTGGCATGCTCCAGTTTACTGCCAATGTCAGTAAACACCGTTCGTCACTGCGTCACAATTGCAAGTTATACTATGCAAAGCAGAAGCATCTGTATGTCAATAACATCCAGAAACGCTGCCGACTTTCTGGGCTCAAGCTCAGCTTAAATGGACTGATGTACGGTGGAAACAGGTATTGTGGTCTGACGAGGTAACTGGTGGTCTGAGTGGAAACATATTGTGGTTAGATGGGTAAACTTTTGGTCTGAGTGGAAACGTGTATTGCAGTATGAGTCAAATATGTACTGTAGTCTGACAAGAAAACAAAATATGAGCTGTAGTCTGACAAGAAAACATCTCTGGGTCGATTAAGAAAAGGCCCACAGATTGTTAACAGTGTAAAGTTCAAAACTAGATCAATTGCTGTCTTCAGTCTGCAAATGATTATTAAAGGTGGAACAGGTGATTTATTTAAGAAATATTGTTATTTTTTAAATACTCTTTACAGCCCGATAGTAATCAATAAATTAAATGCTGTGACAATGAAAAAAAAATTATCTGCAGAGGCCACAGGACTATAAAAAACCCTGTCCAGTCATTTCATTTGGACTGAATGAAATGATTGGATGGCCCACCTGCCTGTCTGCCTACCTACCTACCTCACGTCTTGCCCATATGTGCCCTCTGCACATGTACTCAATTGCTTATGTGCGGAGTTCATCATACATCTCTACACACACACACACACACGAAAGGTAATAAGCACGGTTCACAAGAATGACAGGGAAAGTTACATAGCTACCTACAACAGCTCACACTGCTAAAGAACATCAGTGTGAGGGAGTTGTAAGGCCTGGAAAGCGACGCA